ATGATCCGATGGTCTGCTGATCCAATGGTCAGACGGTCTGCTGACCCGATGATCTGATGATCTGCTGATCCGATGGTCCGCTGATCTGATGGTCACCTGATCCGATGATCTGATGGTCCGAGGATCGAGGATCCTTTGATCCAATGTCATGGTCGAGCGGCCTGGCGGCCATGCGTGCAAGGTAAAGCCAGCGTTGCCAGGGCGCGTAAACAAAACTAGACTTAAAGCAACACCTTTAGCTCCCACGTGCGCAGCAAGGGCGCCCTGCAGCACCCAAACCCCCAAGCGCACACAGCTGCGTGTTCATCTCAGTCTCAATCTCACGCTCCCAATTGGCAGGACATTTGCAAAATGTCGAAGACCACGGGGTTTGCTAGTTCCCTTCTCCCTGATGACGACGAACAAGTTCAGAGTATGTTGAGTCAACGTCAGCAGATGGAGATGAACCCAGCAGATATGTTGGTGGCTCTAAAGACCGGCGAGACCTGGCCAAAGTGTTTTGCAAAGCACTTGGAAGCACGCGCGCATTTGTCTTCGTTGCTTGAACGGGAGGTCGCTGGACGGGACTGCCGGGACTGCAACGCTATATGTTTCTGTGTGGGGTGGGGGGTGTGGATGTTGGTGAGTTGTTGGGGGAAGGGCGGAACTAACCATCAAAAATCAATAATCCTCAAGCCTCAAGTCTTTTTGTATCTTTTTGTGTTAGACCCATATGCAGGTGCCAACGCATGAGGAATTGCTGGCGACTTTTGGAAACCACTGGAGCAAGACATTGCCAGCCAGAGAGCAAGATATATTGTATTTGCACTTGTGGGCGACACTTGGCCTGAGATGAAGATAGAAAAGGAAATGAACAAAGAACAGACAGAACGAAAAAGAGAGAGAGGGAGAGAAATAAACTCGGACTCAGGCTCAGCTGACTAGACTAGAATGACCGGACTCGACTCGAACCGAACCGTTTTTTCCTGTGAGGTTGGAGCATCACCGTGGATCAACAGACCCTTCGTTGATTTGGGACTTGACTCACAACATTACCTTCCAGCAGTGGAAGGAACACGCTTATGAAGACACTCTACCCTGCCTTCTCCGGAACCATCGTTACTGGCATGTCGGTCGAAGAAGACACTTGGTTCCTGGTTAATGGTTACATCAGGCCCATGGGGTGTGGCGTGATACATTACATTGGAACCAGTTAGCAGCTAGCACATATAGTAGTTATATATATAGAGTACTACATGACATTCTCTTTAACATTATTGTAATTGCAGTCGTTTTGTTTACTCGCCTCAGATTCACATTGAACGTTGACTGAGGATTGATTCTAGGACGTGAACTTCTTGCAGGTCAAGGATTCCCTTTGTCGGTGAAGTCTTCTGGAACCACTTCAAATGAGGGTCGGATTGTTGTGCCGGATTCTGTTCTGCATTGTTGTTGAGGCTGAGCAGAGTGTTTCCTATATGTTCAATCAACCCAGGGTCAGCCACCAATCATATGATTGGCCTCTGCAAGGATCGCGAGCTGAACCGCATCGCTGGCAACTCGATCTCTATACCAGTCATTGGATCCATCATGGCGTGTTTGATGGCTGGATGTGAGCTGCGGGAAAGAGAGCTTGTTGTGCCATTGGCACCCACGTTTGCTGGACCTCCTGTTTGGGTTGGACCCAAGAGGATTGAGGGCTCCTCTGGTCCTTTTGATTGTTTGACCCCAAAGCCGCCAAAGGCGACAGCAGTAAAGTCTCGGGCAGCGCCAGCTAGAGCAAAGGCAAAGGCTGCCACAGTGCTCCGCCGACCAGCTTCGAATGTGTCAAAGGCACATCTAAAGAGAAAGCCAAAGGCTGGGTCGAGAAAGCGGCCGAGTGCATGTGTTCAGCAAACCCTGGAACATTGCAGGTTTGTTCGTGTCAAGTGCACCAACTGATGAGTTGGCAAGTGCTTGGCAGTATTAATTAGTGTTTGCCGCTTGCCTGGATCACCGTCTCAGCAGGACCTGACTCCTTTGAAAAGTGTTGGGTGTGCAGCATGCGCATTTGTTTTCAGGGAGGTGCTACCATTTGATATTGTGAAGTGTCGGTTTGTTTGTGGAGATGTCACAGTTGGATTGACCTATTGAACCTTTTTTTCAGTTAATTTATTAGTATTTTTATGTTTATTTTTGTGTTTTTTTGAAATCAAATATTTTTTATGTTTTTTGTTTTTTCAAGAATCAACAAAATATAATAAACTCATTGAAAACATATGTTTTTTAGTGTTTTCATTGACTTCTAAAATCATGAAATAATATGGTTTTTATGGTTTTCTTGGTTTCCACATTGATATGAACACACATCAGACACAGGCCGAACTGGCCATTCTAAATTTAGCCTCATTCAAGTACAGAACCCATCCTTCTGGAGTCACCTAAAGACCGCTGAAAGACCATTCTTCAGATCACTCTTGGCCTCCAACCACCTCCGGAAAGAAGGTTTGTAGTCTGGGCCTTTGGGGGGGGTGTAGTTTGTTCGTACCTTCTTTTCAGATGAGGAAGAAACAAACTACCTCCAGGGGTGTAGTTCCTTCCCCGCACTTGTACGATCCTTCTCAAAGAACCGGGTCACCGAGAATCTGTTACACAAACAGACGCACCTCCAGGCCTCGGAGGATCCGATCGCCTCCTCCCTGTTGCTGAACCAGGCGCCAGCGCGCGCAGGGGGGAGGAGCTGCAGGGGCGTGCGGCTCCTTGCGGCGAAGTGCCGGGTGTCAACCGGATGTTGGATGCCCCGGGTAGCAGTTAGGCTGGCGCCATTCAGCGGGTGGTGCTTCTTTACAGGAAGCTTTTGGGCGGTGCTGGATGAAAATCCGGAGTCTCCACAGCACTCTGTGGGAGTCCAAGCATCATGGTGCTGGCTTTAGAATGCGGCCCCAGTCTCCATTCAGAATCCTTTCCGGCTGGAAGTTACACTTAACAGTTGGCCAAGATTGGTGTAGGAAGGCATTTCTGTGTGAGGCCTTTGTCCTGGAGCAACATCAACAAACATCGAAAACTGCTGTTTCATGCTGTTTCTGTTTCAGTCAAGGAGATGTTTACAGTACAAACTCCACCTTCGCTCAAATTTGCTCACTTCTCCCGTTCACTCTGGAGACAAAAGCGGTGAAACCTGGCGAGACAGCTTCAGAGCAACATGCACGCGTGAATAGCAGTAGAGGTTCCTAGGATTTCTGGCTGTTTTGCGCGGAGGCTGCAGCAAAATTGAAGCTTCTCGACCCCTGGCAGCAGGAAGCAGTGAATTCCTGATGGGATTTGTTTGACATCGCGTGATATGACAACCAAACGAGAAGAATGCTCCAATAAGGAGAAAAATGCAGGCAGAGATTGAGCAGGTTGTTGCTAAGAAATGTTAAGGAGGGGTCGTCGTTCACGCCTGCACATGCTGAGTCTGTTTGCTTCACTACAGAAAGGCCTCAGCGATTGAACGCCATATGACCGATGCCGTAAGGTGTGATGGGTCTACAACTCAGTCTTTAAGGTGTGATGTTGGGTAGGCTCCGAGGTTCAGTCTCCACTTTTCGAGGATGTCACCGTCCCCCAATTCCATGGACGTTCTAGAGCATACGTTTTCTAGTCCATCCGAGACTAGAGCAGATGTACTCAGATAGATGTGCTACGTAAGTAGGGATTCTCCTGGCACCCCAAAGGGCGGGCATTTTTTACAAGATGTCAAAACATGTCAAAACAATCATGTAAGACTGTTAAACCATCCCATTTGAATGAAAGAACCCCTTCATGTGGGGGTATGACACACCTCAAGAGTCTAACATGGTACACCTCACAGGGTTTCGCCACAAGCTTGGTCCGCTTCACTGGATCGGGCACGAAGACAGTGGGCACTTGGTCATCCGCAGCCCGCTGAAGGCCACCACCTTGACGGCCACGACCTTGAGAGGGAGGGGAAATCTTAAAGCGATCTGGATTCTTAGGATGGGTTGAGCGATCTGAAGCACGGCTCCATGTTTTTCAGTGCATTTCCCTTATTCCTTTGAAGTGGGGTCAGTGGGGTCACCTAGTTGTGGCCTGCACACACCAACCTGTTACTGACCTGAGTTTTCTTACAAAAGTCCTGAAACGCTCCAACGCAGAACTGCTGAAGGGTGGTAGCATGTAGACATAGAGAGGTATGTCCATTCTTCTGGCAGACTATCCAGGCCTGTGTTGCAACAAAGACCTTTGCAAAAAAGCAGCGGAACTCTTGTGATGGGTCTACTTTACTGTAGCAGGGGCTTGCCATTATAAAATCAGGTGAATCTGAGGACCTGAGGTCGAGTGGTCGAGGTGCGACCTGTAGATGGAGCCGTGGTCGAATAGGTGCCCAAGGTTTTTCCCAGCAGAACTGAGAAATCGACGGAACTCAAAAAATTCTCACCTGAGACTACGATGTTCAACCAGGACAGATAAATAATTCACCACCAAATATATAGAAACATTGAAAGAACTGGGCATAGCAGCAGGATAGTCAAGGCCACTCAGCTTGGATGACATTTTGAACCAGGACGCTTAGGACGCAGTGCTTTTCCCTGCAAAAGATTCCCTCTCTTCAGTTGACTGCGCTGATGGGTGACTCATTGTCCAGGCCTTAGAAGAAGCTGAGAGGGACTACAAGGGCCAGCTTTGTGGGCCCGGCGACCGCTTGGCACCGCGACGTATGACACTGTGACGTCGTCATGTCGGTTGAACCATGTTGAACCGGTGTTCTTGGGATTCTTCTGGTGAGGCTGCGAGGAAGGAGATATATATGTCGGAGTGGGTTTGGAGGTTTGATCCGCTTGTGGAGCAGCGTGGGATTCGATGATTCACTATTGGCAAGGGAAAAAATTAGCCACAAGCTTTTTGGGCCGGTGGCTTTGCCCCAGATGTGTTTTCCTGAAATGGAATGATGATGCTGCACTGGGTCTTCCAGTTCCAATTGTTTGGTGGAGCTGCTTCGCGACCAAGTAGTTGAAATCAACTTGGGAATCTATAAGTGGTCACCACCCCCATACAGTCCTAAGTCCATCTAGACAGTCTGGTTCTGACAATGACAGGTGCCCTCAGCACGGAGATCGCGATCACTTTGGCGGAGCTCCGGGCCGAGGTGTGAACCTGGGCCACAACGGAGGGTGCATGGAGTCCATGGGATTTGGAGGGGGATGCATCTGAGTTCAGGCCCAATGTCCAATCATGCAAGTGGATGACATCACAGGAGTGAACTAGAGCTCATGGTCCACTTCGTGTGTTGGGTGAAGGCCTTCAGCCCCCGCCACTTGGGCACAGGCCAAGGGCGAGACGGAAAGCCTGGCCTTGTTGCAGCTGGCAGGGCCTCCCAGCGTCGAGTCAGTGGCGGGTACAGAATTTCTTAATTACACAGGTGAGGGCGAGTGGAGCAGTAAGTAGAAGTGGATCGAAGTACTGAAGTATACCAGTCTTAAGACCCACAGGCTTGAGCCTGGTGAGAACCTTTACTGGAAATTGATTTTGTGAGATTCCGCGAATGTGCAATAGGTGCTGAAGCTGAAATGGAGACAAGAAGACAAGCTTGAGTGCCGGGGTTGTGCATTGACTGTGGCGCATGTGGTTGTTCTTTTTAAAGTTTGGGCCAGAACACCTCAAACTGGATGATTATCATCCCCTGTAATCGTCCATAGCATTGGGCTCACTGGAATGGACCCCGGTGAGGTCCAAAGGCAGCTGGGCGAGCACTACTCGAGCATCTCAGAGCAGCTTCTCAAGGAGGTGCCGAGAGTGGGTGGTGCTTGTAGACCTTCGGTTTGGAACGGCGCGGAGGGAGGGACACTCGGATGAACAGATCTCAAGTAAGGTGTGCTGCGCTGCAAGGTGGTCAGATTTGAAGTGTTATACATATACTGTATTTAACTATTGCTAGTTCAGGCAGATGTATATTGGAACATCTTGGAACCCACATCCAGCTCAATTAGACATCAGAAATAACCACATGATGTCTCACAAGGTTGATGTAATTGGATGTCTCACCAGTTGATGGTCTAAACCATGTGGCCATATGGGACCCACCTCCTGCTCGTCAGGTGACCTCGTTGGGCTTCGACCTCGTGGGACGCGACCGGATGGGTCCGGCGGCCTACCGGGTGGCCGAGGGCGAGGCAGTGGGGACAGGGCGAGGCCCAGAGGGTTTAATCGAAACAGTCCTTCAGTCTTTGAATCACATTTATAGAGTCATAGACTGGTGGTCCTGCTTTGGAGCTCACCGCTGCGAGAGATTACTGTCACCCAGCTGTGCAGCTTTGCGATGGATTTGTGGATGATATTGATGTGAGTTTCCGATGGCCTTTGAATCGATGGCTCTTGAGCACGGTTGGCCGGTTTGGTTTCGGTCGGTGGGCCACGAACACCCAGCGAGAAGGACGACATCATGTGCTGTAACTTTATACAGTATAATATATACACTCATGCACCGCTAAACATGTGCTTTTGGACTTGACAAGTGGGTAGTGGTCTTGAAATGTCTTGAAGCGTTGGCTCAAGCTGCTTCTTAGTTGCTTTGCGGAAATGGCCACCACAGTGCGAAGAGAGCGTGTTCATGAGTGGGTCCATGCAACGAGCCCTCAGAACTTCAGAACAATCCGATCTGATGGCCACTTGAAGGGCAACCACTGCCAGGATGAATACTTTGATGGTGACCTTTGTCTTCCTGGTGCGCCGATGGGAACCTGGTTCAATGCCAACAACTACCGTGGCAGGACCATTACCAAGACACCTTATCCGGAACCCTTCGATGGTGCGATGGTGACGGCTTTGGCCATCTCGGTTCCGCAGCTGTTGAATCTAGAAGAGGTATACCACTTATTCAAGGTTACCGAAAGACCTCGAGAGTACTTGCAGGCCAGGGACATGGCTTTGTTTCCCACGTAATTCAGGAAGGGCTCCACAATTGGTGCCTCAGTTCTTTTCAGTCTTCGGAATTCGGATTAGCAAAGTGAGAAGTAGGATGGGAATGAAGTGGGTAGCTTGCGGGAGTTGCCTTTTGTTTCAGCAATGGATGTGGTGGATGACTTGTTTACGAACAGTCCCCTTCCATTTTGTTCACCCACACGTAGGACTCAAGTTTTGCACCTGTTAGGTGAAGTATGCCATTGTGAAGGAGAGTGATGCATGCTTCGATTGGTTTGCGAACCACTTGGATCCTGTCTACGACAACACGGACGAGTTTGTGCGCCTCTACTTGGAAGACGGGAACTACCAATGGTGTGCCAGAGATGCAGTCCACAAGGTGGGAACTATTTTAGAGTGCAAGAAACGACAAGAGATCGCAACAATCGGATATACATATAGAGTGGGCACATACGTGGCAGTGCGTGTGTTGAGCACCTTTTGATGTTGCATTTCATCATTTATGTGTAAAGTCTTACACAAATGGTCCTTGCAGGAAGCAAGTTTGAGAATCGGCCTTTTGAAGAATTATGGTTCCTTCCTTCATCGGGATTTGCTTACTCTAAGATAATGGGTATACGTCGGTATATATATATATATATATATCTTATTCAACAGTATGTTTAGCGCCTTCGCGTTTTGTCAAACACGCCATGCTTTACGGAACACATGCCTACATTACACTTGCATCCCACCTGATCCAGACCTCCTCCAACATACAACGCTATTGTCCCTCTTTACCGAACACGGATTGCGCACAGAGGGTCGGGTCACCACCGGGTCCCCGGGTCCGACCCCTTAACGCAAGAACATACCTTCAAAGAACCATTAAGAACCACAATGTCCCAGAGATCTGGGGACTGGAAAGCGGTGGGCTAAAACAAGGAAGCAACAAAGGCACATGTTTCCAGAAGTCTATCCTCAGGTGGAGAGACTTCAGTCATGACTCTGGAAGTGTTGTTTGTCTTTTTGGCATCCCGGCCAGCCCAAGACCTGGTAGGCTCTTAGGAATTGTTTTGTGTTTTTGTGTTTCATCTAAAGGCGTGCAAGCCAATTCTTGGCTGAGGCTTTCGCATTGCACTTGCATGTGCTGAGGTGAGTTGTAGGTACCCACAACAATGCTGAAAAACTGCAGTGCCAGGAGAGCCCGTTATGAAAACACATCATGTAGTCATATTATGTCATATTATATATCTTCCGCACAGGCATGAATAGAATCGGGGACGTCTGGGGCTATACCATGCCATTGTTGGTGTTGTTTCAACCTATGCCCAGGTGATGGTGAGCGTTTTTGTTGTGAACAATGACGACCGCCACCCCAGCATTTCTGTTGGAAACTGCAGAGACTACCCGATCGAAAAACTTCCAGCCAGGCGGGTTGAAGCACCGTTTGTGACTTTGGGTTTTGTGGTTTTGTGGTTGCAGATGTTTAAAAAGCTATTGGCAAGCGGATGGCTACGTATCCTTCACCACATCTTCAAGATCCTTCACTTGTTGGGACCCTTTCTGGGGGGGGTTATCCAAGGACCAAGGCCTCATGTTGAGCAAGCAAATCAGAAAGCCTTCAAGTGATTTCAGGACTGGAAGGCCACAAAACTGATCACTGGAATCACCATTTTGGTCGAAACCTCGGGTCAGATTGAATCGACTTAGGATTTGTGATTAATCATTCGTCGAATCATCTCATACCCGCCATGCCATGCCCACTCAGAGTTCACGCTGAGGCAGATTCAGAGTCCTGGAAAACTTGTCCGCCAGTGATGTCAGGAGAGACCTGATGCCCTTCTCAGGCAGCTTTTGGAGACATATGATTCATGGGTTTCTATGTCACGTCACGTTCTGGTTTCGTCATTTGTCATTGGAACTTGACTCTTGCTGCCACGCAACTGCCTGGTTTGGCCACTTACAGGGGGACTGGAGAAAGGGGCAGCCGCACAGCCTATTGCAGCATGGCGCGAATAGCTGGAACCGGACACCAACCAAACATATATTTATATATATAATAATATACTTTACTGGCGTGTAAAGGTTAACACTGTTGAGCAGACAATTTCATACCATGTCACGTTCGTTTATATAGTGGTCACGTTCGGATTCCAGGTTTAAGTTTGATGTTGGATCTTCCATCCAATGTTGAGACATATGTCATCATATGTTTGTGCAGCATGCTGCTCCTTCTCATTCACTTTTCAAGAGACTTGGCGCTACGCGACCGTTCAGCAGGCATCGTGTCATGTCGTGCGCATGTCACGATGCCTCGCGGGCCTTGAGTGCTGAGCACATGGCTTCTACGGGTGGAAATCCAGTATTCTTGGACACCATACATTGCGATCTGGGCATTTGGAAACATGCGGTTGTGCAACACAAGCGTCGACATTTCACCAAGACCTTGCTTTCTTTTTGCGGGGATGTTGCTGGTATGTGTTTGTTTTGATCATGTTGTATTCACCGTTCATCCCATGGATCATGCCAATTGACTCAGCTTCTTCAGTTAGCTTTATAAGCCGTTCTTGATGTCACTCAATCATATCAATTGTAATTACTGTAGTTTTGTATTTGCCTTGTGACCCGGCCTGCCATGACTTCACAGAAAGCTCGCACTTCAAGGGCCGCTCTCGGCACAGAGCTTCCGCGCACCGTCGCATTCAACAAAAAGATGGGCAGGTCATTTCAGATTTTGTTTTTTGTTTTTTTTTTTGTGTGTGTGTGTGTCAGTTGCCTTATAAGCCATTCCATGTTGCTATGCCGTTTTTGATCGTTCTTTCTTTCAATGTTGGGCCAAACTTGAGGTAACAAGTTGGTCAGGATGACCGGACCTTTCTTTCAGGATTCCACCAGTGGCCACCCAAATGTCCAAATGTTCCCACTAGAGCCATGACCTGAGATACATGCATGAGAATGTTTTCTCTGAATTCATATACACTCCCTGGTGGCTGGCATAGGAATACCCAAAGCCAACGTCAATAGAACCCGGCCAGCATTCCTTACTGTCGCTTGAGTTGGCCCTGCCTCCTTCAAACAGCCAACCTCTCGCAAGACCAGCCACTTCGTGTCCCACGCTGTGAGGCTTGCAGAGTGCTCCTGGTCGGTGCCTCGTTGGTCGCCTTGAGTTTGGTTCACGAAGCAATGGCAACCCTGTTGACACTTACAGACTTAGGAAAGAGTATCAGAACAGCATAATAGAGCAGAAGCAACAGTTCTTCCCGTAACCTATCCAAGTGACATAAGAACAGTTTTAGCCAGTTTTGTAGCCCGTTGCAAAGCTGTTCCAAGCGCACAAGACTGTGGTAGATCAGCCACGAACCAGCTGAAGGGCCCCAGCATGCCCCAGCAGTGCGGTGAGGCTTGGCCGAAGTACTGAGCTCCCTCCGAGCACTACCGGAGGCGCGTTGCTCCCGCGGATTCTCCGAGGAAGGGGGTGGACTGCGTTGTTGGTGCTCCGGTCTCGTTGAGGGACTGGTTCAGTGATGTCCGGTGGTTCTGCTGGGCGAAAGTGGTGAGTGGCAGATAGGAACGTACCGTATATATACTGTAATACTATATTCAACTATAACCAACTGAAGCCTTTTCAAGAGAGGTTAAGCGACCTGTACGGATAGGTACCTCCTTTGAGGTACCTAGGATAGTCTATACGGATCTTCAACCTCCTTGTTGGTTGTCAAGGAGGACTTTCAAAGACCAGCGTTTCACTTGACTTGAGTCTTCCGATATCCGAAGAATAAGAACATTGAAGAACTGGATGAAAGCCACTGTCCTACCAATGGGGGTTCCGGTCTTTGCCATCGTCCCCCCGCGGGACACCAGACTGGCAGGTGCTCTCCGGGGAGCCGCTGCCCACGGCTCTTGGGCTGGCCTCGTCGGGGAGCTGAGGCTGAGGCTTCCATGTGCGTAGTGGCAGTGGAGAAGGGTAGAAGAGTGGTACAGGATGAGGATGAACAATGGGAGAAGGAAGCTGACGAGCAAGAAGCCTTGCACAAAACACTGCTAATAGAGTTGCCATAGTAGTTGCCACGACCTTTCCTTGTGTGTTTCTATCGATTGCCAGCCGTCAGTTTTTCATTTTCCCCAATGTTGGGCCAGTCACTGCAACTTTGGGGCGCCTAATTAACCGTGTTGCTGTTGGACGGACCTCTTTTGTTGACTTTTCTGGCAGCTGGTTTGACAGATCCAGTAGCCTGTGTTTGATGGATCAACGGAAAAAAACAGAAAAAACAATCTCAGACACTCCATCTATGCCACATATATGCCGCCCCATTGACCCCCCCCCTGACACCACCCCAACTGATCCACATGGCAGTCAGTCCCATGCGTCGTGTCTCCGTGCCACGAGGTCCTCCGCCCTCCTCCGGTGCCGCCGAGGTCCGAGTTCCCGGACGAGGGCTTGATGGGCAGCTCCAATGGAGAGCTGGCAGCCTGTGCCAGGTAGGGGTGAGAGCTGGATCCGGGAAAGAGGTGGGTTGGAGAGCGGTTGGGAGGTTGGGGATGTTTCAGGTTTTTTTGGGTCCTTAATAAGACGATAGGTCCTTCATTTAGCTCGGGAACGGTGGTTGGATGCAAGTATGGGATTTGTTTGAATTCTTTGGTTGCCCTCCTAGTATGTAGAGCATTGGAAAAGGTATATGATATATGTTTCTTTCCCAGGGCGGAATCCAAGCTGAGCAAATGATATATATATAACTATATATATATAGATGTAATTATCTATGTTACGTGTTTATTTTTATATCGCCAGAACAACTGCACTGGACAGCTCCCCCACTCCTAGAGGGGGTAGAACATCGCACCGTGCGTAAAACAGTTCATGGCAGCCCAGACCGTGCGTGAGAGTGGCGGAAAGTTTCCAAAGTTCACCCCAAATCAAGCAAAACAATCTCTAAGGGAATATGTGGGGTTCCCATTTTTGATCTTAGGATGACCTATTTTTAGGTGCTTCTTGAAGGTTCATTCAAACAGCCGCAGGAAGACGACGTCCTGCCGAAATAGAATTGTTCTGTCCTTGACACCTCCCAGCCCTTCCCATCGCAGCGCCAAGCTGTGCCCGACTGCGAAGCAGCACAGATGCTTCGTTCTGCAAGGCTGCAACAGAGCCGTTGGACAGCCGGCTGGTGCCCTGCCACGTCTTCCAAGGAGGAGTTTTTGGAGGCGATCCCACTCCGAGCGACAGAAAACGACCATGGCGGGCCCACCTTCACCCGAGAAGTTACGACTTGCACGGACCAGAAGATCCAGAAATGACATGGACTCTTTTGGCCGTTTGCAGGGATGAAGTACTTGCACATAATTTATCTACACCATCCAACAGTGTTGCTTTCTTCACGGTCCTGAGGTATATATACTCTTGGACACTTCCATTGGTTTACAAGATATACTAAGCCACTAAGGTCGATCCCTTAGGAGGCCACGGGGTTTTGATCGACGGTCCCGCAAGTCTTCCATCCACGCCTCGGCGCACCTCGATCCGGGCAGGTCGATGTGCAGCGAGCACCTCACGTGGGCCGAATCTGTGGCATCGCTTTGCTTGGGGCCCAGCTCGTGGGAGTGTTATTATCAAGTGGGATGTGGTGCAGAGAGTGACCCAGAGTGGTTGTTGTTGTTGTTGTTGTTGTTGTTGTTCATAAACTGCGAGGTCAAACACTTAAGCCGTCTAAATTTGGAGACCATTCCTGGAACATTCCTCGTAATTCCAGTAGAAGGCTTCCTAGGAAGCTAGAGGTTTGGGACCTTTGCACTTCTTCCCACGGGCACAGGACACAGGCCACAGGCCCCAGAAGTGCTTTGCCTATAGTTTGTAGCCAACTAGAGGGTTGACCTTGCGAAACTCCAAGGCTGCATCCTTCAAGCCATGTGTTTCAAATACAGAGACATGACATGGTTCACCGTTGCAAGACAAAGACTCATTGAGAATCCCTCCGGCCATGCGCACTGTTGCAAAGGGGACATGGCTTTCAGCGTTGTTTTGCAACTTTTTGGCTGACTTGTAGGCAGGGACGTCTTCCTGCTAGTGGGCATTGGCAGCAAACCTTGGGTCTCTTGCAACTGGCCCTGGGCGCAGATGAAGAGGTCGGACGTGAAGATGAGATCGGTCCAGTCCAGTGGCCGAGCAACATTCACACAGACATGGTTGGATCAAGAAGCTCAAGGTCGTGGTAAAATGGCAGGTGTTGTGGTCACCTTGTGTGTCCGCAAAATGATTGAACCAAAAAAGCCCCCCCCTGGACAATATAGGCTTCTATATGTTTCTATCATGTATTTGCCGGCCACTGCTTAAGAGGCATCAAGTAGACAGAAGTATACGTCCGGTGTTTGTCATGTTTGACCGTCAAGACCCATCAATATGTCATGCAGCAAATCTCTGATTCAGAAGTTCCACCCCTTCGCCTTCCACCTGCCTTCCACCTCTTCGTGAACCGCACAGCCTCGCCACCGCCACAGCACCGCACCGCTGACCGTCCTCCAGGCCTTGGCCTTCGCGCAGCCGCAGACCTTCCTCCGGCCGCCGGTGCGCTGCGTCCACCAGGCCGCAGGACGTCGCCGCGCAGGACGGTGGTCCGTGGGACGGTTGTGCGTGGTTTCCGGCGGCACAGGTGGCGTGGGCGCTCCACAAGAAGAGAAGTTTTAAGAAGTGGCAGCCATCAGTTGGGGGAGCCCGGAGGTTGTTGTTCGGCCGAAGAGTGGTGAAGGAAGGGATGGGAGAGTTGCAGTTGTGGGTGGGAGAATGGCTATTTCAATCTATTTCATTTGTAGGCCCACGCGGGCACTAGTGAAGAACATGAATCTTGTATGCATTAAAGGCATCATGAGGATTTAAGCTATCCCAGTTGGAATTTGTCCAAGGGCTGGGAATTGCT